TTGTCAATATTTTTATTATTAAATTTTGCCAAATTCGGCAATAATTCGGCAGCCGAATGACATAATTTCGACTAGTGTTTGTCACAGTATCAATTTTTTTGTCAAATTTTTTACTGCAGTATCAATTTTTTATACTGCAATATGCAAAAAAATTTTTTGCCATAGTATGCAATTTTTTTTTTTTTTTTGCTGTAATTTTGTTAGATTGTGCTAAATTTTTTTGCCACAGTATGTTGATTTTTTGCTGATATTTTTAATGCTAAGTGGCAACAATCATACAAGATTCATCAATATTTTTATTATTAAAAATTTCCAAATTTGACAATAATTTGATAGCCGAATAACATAATTTTGACTAGTGTTTAAAATTTACAATAACAACTTATTAGTAATAATCCTAATAAATAAAGATCACTAATATTAGTTTATCAGAAAAGTAAAATATTGTTCTCTAAATCTAACTTAGAGTACTTTGTTTTGTTTAATCTGACACACCATAATGGCATGATTGCGGGTCAAAAAAATAAAAAATAAAAATAAAAATACAGTATACTGTATATATACAGTACAGTATTTTGATAATATTTTGAACTACGGGTCATTCGCAAAAAAAAGTTTACCAAAATTAACATAGCTTTATCATAATACAATCAAATCTCTTAGACCGGAACTGACTGTTCTTATAGTAAATTTTTTAATATTGTAATTTACAGTATACTGAACTCCATAATAAATAGTTAAAATCTTTAACTCGTTAATGTATTAATTCCACGAGAGCCAATCATTCCATGTACACGTGGTGTGATCAGAATTTTAGGTTCCACACACTCTTCATAACACTGTGTGCGCATATTTATGTTAAATGTTACCAATACAAGCAAACATAGTAGCACATCTGTCGTTAGAATTGAGAATGGATCCGGACGAAAATTCGGATTCAAGATCTAGAGATAATTCCTTTACAAACATAAGACGAACAGTTTCTCTTACGAGATCGCGGAGGAATACTCAAAGTGGTGGTGAAGGTCATTCTCAAAGTACGACCAAACATACGATTGCACATGCTACCAACTACATCAACCAGATCTTGCATCGACGAGCTTCAGCTTCTTCCTCTCAGAGGCCAAATCTAGCAGAAATAGTTATAACTAGAACTGAATCAGAGCCCATGATTCACGATTCAACTCCCAAGTCTACAGTGGTGAGCTCAGATTCATCTTTACAGCAACCGACATCCATTCAACAACCAGTTGTGCAACGAGCTGGTAATCTCCTAAGAAAAAAAAGTATGCGTACTTCTGGTGGTCTTTATTCGCCGATTTCACCATCACAACCGTCGTTTCCTCCAACTGCTGAAGAAGAGCTGCCCGACGATCATAATAACGTTGTCGGCGAAACTGATAATAATAATAATAATAGCAATAACAATATTAACCATATAAGTAACAATAATATTAGTAATAGTAATCATAATACAAGTAATGTATATAGTAGACGCTTTGGATTATATCATGGAAGTTCATCACAACATTCACCTAGTTCGTCAATATCGTCTCGGAAGAATTCGTTGTTCGTCTTCGAAATGGGTAGAGAAAATAAAAACATGCAAAAAGATGAGAAAATGGAAAAGTTATTGAGAAAAACTCGAGTGTTTCTGGACGTGAAACAAAAACCGAAGGCTAGAGTCGCATCATTATGGAGTTTTATTAGTGGGTGTTTTATTAGCAATTTTAGGCGAGATTACAGTTTTTCCACAACACCTCGCGAAAGAATATAGCATTAATAGTCTTTTTACTTTTCGGATGATTAAATATAGATAACACAAACGAGCTGGATCAGGCTCAATTTTTCCAGCAGCATGCCGAAGATGTGTTTGATGCGATGTATAAGTTGTTTATGGGACAAGTTGAAAAAATAAAACGTAAGATATAGACTTAATTGATTTCTCTGGTCTAAATTACTATTGGGAAATAGAAATAATTCGTGTTATCGTTATCAAATACTGTTAACAGAGAAATCAGACCGACTCACGTCATTTTCATCCAAAGAGTATACGACTATTAACAATACCCTCCTGTTATTACGAAAAATATTTTTATACTTGCCAGACAAGATAAGAAGTGGTTGGCAACGTAGGCAAACAGGTATAATTCGGAATTATGGAGTCATTGGTTATTATGTGTTGTCATAATCATACTTTGAATTATTTGAAATTTCCAAATTTTAACAGTTTAATGTATTGTTAAATTAAATTTCGAAGCCGAAATGTTATCCCATCTTCTCGACCACGGAAATCATCCACGTATTCGGATACAAGGATTTCAACTTTTATTATTATGGTTGAACGATCAGACAATCGAATTACCCGAGTGCATAGATTTGTATTCAAATGCAATCTCGTTAGATTTATTTCTATATGATCAAATAAGAAGTGGAGGTGGTGACCTTAATGCCAGAGAGGGGACGTCGAAGAAAAATGACGACTCCCTCGGGTTGGGTCAAGTCCTAATAAAATGTAAGTATTACTTTTGTTATAATACCGCCTTATCCGATATATTCATTTGGTTACTCGTCTTGTAGCTGATGAACGAGGTCCTTTGTTTCCTAATCCACATCCGCCCACTTTCAATGATGCCGTTAAATTAATACAATTGGATTTGAGCGGGTTGGTCAGACTCGCCCATGTAGCAGCCGGCTCCATACCTCCACCGGAGAATTATGATTTTCCGCAGATTGAAAACATTGAGCACGATAATGGAATAGCCATAGGGATGGGAATTGACGCTGCTTTCGCTGCTGCAAAATTTCATTTCGATATTACGAAAAAGCAATACCTAATAAAACTTTTCCCTCAATGTGCAAAAAGCCTTGGTCTAATATCTGGTGATGATGGTATAGAATATATGAAAATCATTTTCATGATAAAAGTTTCTTCAAAAATTTCTTCCTTGATAATTATTATTAATTCTTAATTATTTTAGATCATGGTTTCCAAAAATGCCCGCCGACCATTTTACGGACATTAATTACCTTCTTTATACATCATTGCCTCGATAATCCCTGTAGCTCTCCGGATATCATATCATCATACCCTTCACCAGCGACTCCGATATTAAAGTCTATAGTATTAGGTCCGGAGAATCGAGAGTTCGCACACGAGATAGTTAGACAGGCTCTTATGTTACCGGCCGGGAGTCCACAGTACAAAGACATAGTTCGGGGGGCTGTGCATATTGTTGGCGTATGGATTCTAAGCGGAGTTAGTAATAATTCACAGAATCAGTCGTGTATTTGTGGCATACCTGCGTAAAGTATAATTGTTCAATTATTTTGTATTGCAGGAAGAAGAAAGGCCAGCTTTCCTTCGCAGATCCCCTTCACAGACCCCACTGTCCTCATCGACAATCGGATCATTTCCTAATCAATTACCATCACCAGATAGTGATTCGTCGATCACTCCTTCAAATACACCGTCAAAGGCTACCTTTTCTTCTGCCAATATATATCTTCGAAGGTATTTGATATGTGCCATTGAGCACACATTCTTCTTAGATAGTTAATATAACAATTTACGTTACTATTGAACGATAGGTATATTCAATTGTTGGGTCTTGTCTTTGAAGATCACTCGGCGATAACATTCGATGGGATGACCAACATCGAGGTGGAATCGCAAGTAGCAATATATCGAGATGTCCTGTCACTATATCGTTCTATGATATCTGAGGGACCAATCGAGCTGGAGGATGAAACATGGTATTTCGATTTTCCTTTATTCGCCAAGGATTTTCTAGTTCTCGGTTTGTGATAAAGCTGTCTGTCTTTATTATATAGGGAGACCCTGTTACTATCTCTCTTGGATATTCAGCAAAAAATAATGAATCAAAGGGACAAATATACACCAATTTCATCTGTCTCGTTATCAGAAGGTTTAGCGGACTATCTTGTAGAGGTATGTAATTTACATCAATCGTTGATTTATAACGAAGCTTTCATACATTAAATTTTAATTTTAATTATTTTTTTGTAGACAATATTGAATGCGTTTGCGAGGTCGAAAGTTCAGCGACCCGAGTTATGGCGCGGACTGAGAAATCAAATGAGTTCCAGCGTGAGGTGGTCTCAAACGATAGCACAGTGGGCGGTATGCTATTCATAATTTGGTATCGTTATTTCACCCGGATATATAATTAAGTTGTCACGTTTAATAGAAAATTATGTTGAGGCTTACTAAAATCCTGTCGAAACACGTTCATCACGTCGATCTTGATGCCGTCGAATTAAACCGTCGCCTATCGGAGTTGTCTACATCAGAGCGTCATTCACATCGACGGCAACCTTCCAAAAGTCGAACCCGTCATTTGTCTCTGCGTGGATCTCGTCACAAACATTCTGGTAGCAATTCTTCTCGCGAAGATGTCATGGCTGCTATCGGATCAGATTTTTCCGTTTTCGGAAAATCGGGAAATGACATTAACATCAAATCTAGTCGACGTACACTTAGCATACATCAGGATATGAATTTCGTGGATCAAAAATCCCCTGGAGGACAAGCTCTACTGAACGTTACGGTCAATGGACCTGCCTCGTCAACGCATTCGGGTAGCATTGCATCAGATGAGGAAGACGATGAGAATGATGATTTCTTTGATGCTAGTAGCGAACTTACTCTTGATGATCTGGCTGATGTTAAAGTAAGTATTTAAATGGTTGGGATGAATGGGTATGTTTAGAGAATTACCATATCCACCTACTCTAATGGTAAATGCTGTACAATAGTCCAATCGAACTTCGTCTTCATCAGCATTTTTCGTTCAGCCCAATTTTAGTAGCGAAAGGCTGTCCGTATCATTAGCGAATTTTCGATGCCAAGATTTTTTAAATTTGGAAGCATTATCGTGGAATAGTGAAACGGCTCTTTTGGTTTGGAAAAACATGCTATGCGCTTTGGGCAATATAAACCATATACAGGTATGTATATTGATCTCCTGATCAAATCTTGTTTGACAGCAAGTACAATTTTTTATTGTGATGCATGCCATTTAGATATCGCAAAATCATGCCGATGCAATGAAATGCCTGGTGGAAATAATGGACATGTTGACATTGGTAAATAAAATTACTTTATCGATGCTAATATTCTAAATTCGTATTTTTTGAATTATAATAATTTTCGAATTTGCCAACCCTTTGATAACGAATAGGTTCGCAATAATCAAATTGGATTTGCGACTTTGCCCCTACACTACGAATTTGCACCATGGTTTTTCGAAGCCTGCGACTTACCTTTGTAAATAAAAATTTCAGACTTATGAATTTATAAATATTTCAAATTGCTCAATGTTTTACGCACTGGACAATAGGGCATTTGCACCCGGACGCGCGTTAGCTTATGCTGGCCTTTGCAAAATGATGTCTCGTCGACCAGATAAGGATTTTGATGAAGCCTATTACTCTCACTTTTATCGTGCTCTGCTTAAAGGATTATCCGATCCTGACGGATCGATAACGCTGGCGATTATAAATAATTCCACGAAGCTATTCTCACAATGCCTGCCGGGAAGCAATATTTTGTACAAGAGTTTCATCGAGACCATTAGAAATCTGTTGTTAAAGGACGACGTGAACATACCAGAACTTACGAGGCAAAATGCGATTACAATACTGTGCTCTCTGATATGCATAGTGAATCAGGCTCCGTCAGCCAAATTCCCAACCATACCGTATAAGAAGTTGGCGCAACTTAACGATGCAAATTTCCGGGAATCAATGCCCAACAATTTAGATTTCATGAGATTTTCCGAGGTATTTAATTGATGATTTCTTCAAAGTCCAAGGAAAATTGTTCAATTATACTAATCCTGATATTTATTAGGTGCGATCGATCTTGAAAGAGACCTTAGTGAAGTCTCTTGCTACCGAGGATTCAATCCGTAATTATGAAACGCATGACATGCTGCTGTACGGAATTTGTACTCTTGCATTTGACGAACTGACATCATGGTAATTTTTTTTAAGATTCTTCTTTGCGGAGGGTTGAAGAATGAATGGCAAATACTTACCGTCCCATCTTTAATCTTAGGCCTAACGAAGACGTAATAAGGGGATGCTTTCAAGCATTGTTGGACCAATTATATTGGAGTCATTTACCAGTGGTCACCACTGCCGCTGATTGCCTAATCGGTTTTGCGCAAAACTCATCTCTATGGCGGAACGAGGAAAGGGTGAGTAATTTAATTGTTGAAATTATGTTACCACGAATTAAACCTTATCTGTATTCAAAATTTCTGCAATGATCATAGGTATATTTAATGATCCTTCAAGATGTTTTTGGGTACCTTATTGGCGCTTTAAATGAACACCTCATAATACAAAAGTCGTCACCCAGGAATGGACGAGGTGCTTTTATACCTTCAGTCAACTTTTTTGAGGAGTGATTATGATATTGTATTTATCCTAAACATGCTATCAATTTCATTCACGATAGGGTTCATAATAGCGAAATTATTTTATTGCCTACTTGAGTGGCTGATAGTTATTCCACCTAATCTTTTCGCCGATACGGAACTATGTCATCTTGTGTTTGACGTTATTGACTTGGTATTCGAGGTAATTGGCGTGAATATCGATTTATTAGATTTTAAAGTGATATTAGAATATGCGCATAATTCTTTTTTTTTTTTTCGCGACTCATCTTTGCCGACGTCTAGCCTGATTCACCAAAAAGAAATCGAAAAAGGGCACACCCACCTGCACGTAAACGCCGTGGGAAAGCTCCTGCTGTGCGCTTCAAAAAGGCGGAACGAAAGATTGCTGTAAGTTCAAGGCCTGGCGGAGAGCAAAATTTTCATGTTGTTGGTGTAGAGAATAATGTGGAAGATGTGAATTTTGTCAAGGTAATGATTATATTATTTGGATCGAAATTTATTTCATGTTCATAATACTTCTCATATGTCGGAAATCTTATTCGATCATAATAGGATGTTGCGGGATGCGTGTTGTTACATTTAACGCATCATTTTGACAATTTTTCACCCCCGCACGGCCCGGCTATGATGAATAGGTAAATGTTTGCATAACAAACAAAATTCAATGCCATTACATTCTGATGGCCTAATTTTTTCATCCTTTTTCTTTTTTAAAAAAAAGTACATTGGTTGGTCCGCTGGGAAGTGATCCTAAGGAAGATGAAGCATCAGAACAGTATCACTATTTTTCATATAACGATACCACAATAATAACATTAGTGGAAATTCCGGGTAAAGATAATTCAAGTATGTCAAAAAGTCAGCTATATAAAATTTCGCATGTTTGCGTACTAATCGCGTGAATTGGATATTCAGCTTCACGTATGATAGTACGCGATCACACCGGTCGTTATGCGTGGGATTCTGGTCTATTTTACAAAGCTTCGCTTGATTCCGAAAAGGGAAAGGATAGAGGGCGGATAAAGGTGGCTGACAAAATTATTTTGAGGAGCGGCATCAAAATAGACCATGATTATTTGGAGTTAAGATCGTAAGTTTTTTTTCTTTTTTTCTGAGTTCTTATTTCGTTCATAGCGCACTATCCTAATTTACCTTTATGAAAGTGATTTGAGCGCTTCACCAAAGACCAACCCAAAAACGATGGGGTCCTCTCCAGAGAAAGAACAGCAACCACCAATATTGACACAAAGTGCAGATCCAGAACGCGTTAATATGTTGAGTAATTTGATTCAATAGTGAGTACCAATGAGGTTCGCCATCTTGTTTGTTCATTCCCATGGAAATTTAATTTTATAAAAATTTTTGTCAGTCTCGATTGTCAAACGCCAGGTCTTGAAAAGGTTCAACCGATACCGCTATATTCGCCAAGGACTGCTACTAATGTGAAGTCTAAAATTGTTCATATTGAGGAACAACTAGACAGACATATAAAAGAAGAAACGTCTTACGGAAATGTCACTGGTGCTCAGTCGTAAGCGTAATTTACTATTTGTGACTCTTGTGTTCATAAGTCATAGATGGCTTTATTATTATGACTAAACCAGTTTAAACATATGCGTTTATCACATAATCAACACTAGGCAATTATGGTATGATGATGCAATTTCGCTAAGAAACAATATCTTTCAAGAGAACGATTACAAAGTGGTTAAGCGGCGTTCTCGAAATCCTCTTTACTGCCGAACCACGTCACATTTATCGCTGGGTGCAGATTTCTCGCTATCAAAATCATTTCTACCGGTTCTACCACCAGAAGCTGAGATGCCCACGGAGCCATATCAGCAGTGCCGATTGTTTTTAAGTCATTTTGGATGGCTTAACCATGATACTTTGAAAGATAGTTCGATCTGTTTACTCAATAAGACGCCGGGATTATTTCGTGATATAAGATTGCTGGATAAAAAGCATGCAAGAGAAGCGATTAAAGTTGCGCTTTTGTATGTTGGGCCGGGACAAGACGACGAGCAAAGCATTTTATATAACACGAACGGTAGTCAGGCTTATGATGAATTTGTGGAAAGTCTTGGATGGGAGATTGATCTGGCCTCTCATCCAGGATACCTTGGTGGCTTAGAGAGAAACTCGACGAACGGGTTGACATCCGTATATTATTGTACATCAACACTTGAGATTATATTTCATGATGTCACCAAGATGCCAACTGAACCCACGGACCCTAAGCAACTAAGAAAAGTATGCATTTATTCGCTTTTTATTATTTATTATTTACTCCATTCGCAGCTTCTGTCGCTAATACGGAACGAAACGTGATTTTATAAGAAACGTCATATAGGAAACGATCACGTCCACGTGATATTTAACGAAAATCACAGAGATTATCGAAAGACCACAATAGGCGGCGACTTCGGCAATGCTCAAATAGTGGTGACTCCATTACACAATGGACTTTTCAGTGTTGATATCTATCGAGACTCGAAAATATCGCCGTTTGGACCATTGCTACACGCTGCGGTGGTCAGCGAGAACATATTAGGATCTCTGGTGCGAATGACAGCGGTACAAGCATTTCGAAATAGTTTACATAATATGAATAGCACGAACATGTCGATGTACCAACATCCTTATATGGAGCGGGCGTCGGACATTAGCACGATAACGAGTAAGCACAAGAACACAAAGTGTAATAGTACCTATGAGGCGTTTATGTCGAAAATCTTCGTAACCGACGATTCTTAAAATCTTTTTGCTTTTTTTTTGTTCGTGGGGACTTTTTGGTTGGGTTTTAAAAATTTGATAGAAAAAAAATTTTTTTTTTTTTTAATTAATCTGCTATTTTCATCCACCCTAATTTTACATCAACATCCGTTAACTTCAT